GGGCAGAAGCAGATTTAGTTCAAAAAAGGCTTTGTTTCATATATATACATATAGTTTGCATATAATATAAATATATATACATAATATATTCAAGATAATTAACACTGCACAAGGCAATTTATTTTTTCATTTAAGTATTATTAATCTACAAAGACACATGTGAAGGCATTTTCTGTTCTTTAAGGATCAATAAGCCTTAGAACATACCAAAACACTCTTCTCCTTCCATACTTTACTTTTTTGACTTCCCAGGTCACACAAATAATAGGACAGCTCTATAAGGTGCCATAGTAAGGCAGAGAACTCTAAATATATCATTTCATTGCAAGCAAGATTTCAATTCTATTTCATAATATAGGACTTGACAAAATATTACACTACTCAGATAATATCTGCTAGAAGGCAAAGTGAAATCTGCCAAATTAATTCACTTCGGTTGATCGAAGAAACATACAATTCCTTAACTTATACTCTCATCCGCCTCCCTCAGTATTTTTTTCAGGGGAAGGTTACCTCTCTAATTTTTTGCCACAACTACCTCCCTCAGTATTTTTTTCAGGGGAACGTTACCTCTCTAATTTTTTGCCACAACTAGAAATAATCACTTTTGATGAAAATTGCTCTCTGATGAAGTAAATTCAGAATATGACAAAATATCCTTCTGAAAGATGAGATCAATAACAACCAGGTTGTTGAAGTATGGTCTCACTTGTAGATATGTGTGTGTGTATGTGTCTTTCCATTCAGACTTTCTAAGTAGATGATCTTTCTAGTTATGGAAAAAGCACTCAATTTTCACCTTTTTTTTAAGGGGAAAATGGATTGACAAATCATCACCCTGTTCTGTTTTCCCATGTTGCCTTGTTTGGCACAGCTTTACACTGTGTTGCTCCGTGTAATGCAGGCATGAAGATGGCAGATAGTCATCCAACATTACTGCCTCCAGCTCACCAGTCTCTTAACACAAAATAATACAAAAACCAAATATTCCAACATTTGCATAATGCTATGTTGGAATTAAATTTTATGACAGAACATTGAATTTTACAGTATGTTTGACATGAGCACCTAATATGCATGATAATCAACATAATATGCATATCTTGTATAGCAAATGGATATAAATAAACCTAATTTGCCTGTAATAGAATTTATATTGAATAGTTTCTCATTAAAAAAAAAGAAAAACAGTAAGTAATTGTTATCTCTACTTTTTTAACCTTGATTTAATCGGGGAATTGCCCGAGTGAGACAGTTGAAATTAAGGGTCAATTACACCCCTGAGACGCAGCCTTGCTTCAGGGAACAGAGATAGTGTGCTGAGGAATGCCATGCTTCATCTCCAGCCTACATCAGGATAAAGAACTTACCATCACACTAGTGTGTGGGATGTTACTCAGAAATAGAACAAAGATCTTTCATCAGGAAGCTTTAAATTCCAGATTTTTTATATCACAATTATCAATAAACCACTAAATATGCCAAACTGCTTTTGAAATGCTGCTTTTAGACCGCAAGTGATGTGCAAATGTCTGCTACCAGATCTGTTGTATATTGGTTTTAAAACAAAAGAATTAAACAGTAGGACAGATAAGTTATATTTCAGGTTATTAAAAATTGTTTTCATCATTGAGCACTCAGGATGTATTTCATGCAGGATTACTCAGAATTCTTTCTTTGAGATGACAGTAAAAAGAAAACAGCCTTGCCTGGATATCTTATGACCATCTTGCTCCCATGAATTTAAATGGATTTCTTTCAGCATCAGAAAAGTATAAATGAGCTCAGCTTTTGCTGCTTTTTGTTTAGCAAAGACACTTTGAGAGAAGATGAAGCTGGATGCAGAATTTACAGTTTAAAACCTTGTCTCATCTCTGTCCTTTCATAATCTCTTGTGGCAGCAATAAAGATTGTTCTTCATTCCATGGCAGTGATGTTGAATGCTGATTAGACTACATGTAATACTACAAAACCTGTGTGAAATTTGACCAATTTTTGGGACAAAAATGAAAAGTGAATGCATTTTGATAATCTCTGTCCTTCAGTCCAACTAAAAATTTAGATTCAGTTTTCAATGAATTTCAGGTTTGAGGGTAGTGACCTAAAAACTAAAATAAGATTCAATTACCCTGTCCTCAAATCATGCGCTATATGAGGAATGTTTAGCTGAATATATTTTATAGCCTTGTAAAACACCTCCTTGAATTTTAAAAAGGACTGAAAAGGAAAAAAACACAGTTCTGTTCTTATGCATTTGCTACATTTATCAAGATATCAACCTCCCCAATCTTCTCCAGAAGCCCTCAAGAGACTAGTGCCCAGTAATGACGAGACTGGCAAAGAGAGGGAATCTGTATGTGGCTGCATCGGTATAAGCAGACACAACTTAGTATTTCTCTTTCTTGACATTTGTCGCACTGGTTTCATAGCAAACAGCAGAAGGAAATTTCTCTAACTCAAAAAACCCAAGAAAAACCCAAGCCCAAAGCACATTATCACCCACAATTAAAGAATACATGTTCTTCCCTCATTTTCTGTAATGCTGAATGTTGTCATCAAAAGACATTAGATAATTCAGGACCTGATCCTCTAAGCAATGGTAGAATTCCATGCATGTAAGCAGTTCCTCTGTGTTTAATAGGGCAATGAGTGTGTGTTTGCAGATGTAGAATAAATTTATGCCCATGAAGGAACTTTCCTCCCATCCTTTTTCTACACTGAGGGTTTTAAAGGTACTCGGAAAAAGATGACACAATCCACTTCATAGGCTTACAGTGAGAGAAACGTCATGACTAAACCAGTTAAACAGATGAATAGAGGATGAAACAAATTAAGTCAGTGGCAAGTAAATGGCAGAATGACAGTGGCCTCCAGAAAACTTGATTGTCACCTGCCTAATTACTATACCAAATACTCCTTCCCTCCGACCTGAATGCCATGAGGGATTCTGCTTCAGCTAAGTATTAAAAATTCTAATTCTTACTGGAGCCCTAACTTGGTGTTTAAAATGTACAGAAGGGACTGGGAACAGCAGCTACAATGAAAGCCACAAATTGATTCTTACTGCTCAGAACTGAGAGGAATATCAGTCACTTGCTAAAACAATTCAGGAGTGGAGTCAGGAGTGGAGCAGGGAACTGTGCCAGCATCCCAGCTGGCTCATGAACTTCATTAGTTTGAATTTGGGCCTGTCACTTTCAAACCGCTCTGAAATTTCCTGAGAATGCACAAATCCATTAAACTATTTGAGAGCTACATAGACATGTTAATTATACACATATAGCCATGGAGTTCCCCCAAAAGGAACATTGCCTCCTTTGCATGCTTTTGATCAAAAGGCCAGGTGGGAGGCTTTAATTTACCTACCTGTTATTTCAAAAGTGATCGATAGCAGAGGTGCAGCACTAGCCTTCGACTTGCTCTGTGACTGACTTTCTGAAATAACATGGAAACGCCACCGTGAGTATATGAGAACTGAGGTCTTCCAAGCAGCCTTACCGAGACAGTATTCACTATAACCAACAGCAACTACACTGAAATGAAGGCGTTTCCCCACAGCTAAATCTGGTAGGTGTGTGCCCTGGCTTTTTCCGATCCTCAAATTACTCATAGTTTTCTGTGAGTACATTTCTATGATGAGAGATGGAGGGAGGATGTGCAGAGCAGCAGCTCTTCTGAAAATCTGTCTTCTAATACGGAAACAGCCCAGAGCTCCTTTTAAACTAAAACCCACTTCATCCTTAGTTTGAGTTCTTGAAAAACTGTTCTCATGTTTATGCATCCAAAGACTAGTTACATTTTAATCAGCTTTCTGGGGCCTGCAGAGATTACCTCCTGATGGGCTCCAAGTATTCCTGTCACAGTCTGATAAGGGTAGATTTCACACCCGCCTAAGCCAGCGAGACTTCACAGCCTACCAAAATCCTAATCATCATTCTGAACAGTAAGCTGCCACTGGTTTTATTGTTACCTCTCCTTAGCTGGGAGGTTTTCCTCATTCACACTACAGCAGGGGCATCTAAACTTTGTTCGGCAGAGGCGATTTACTAAATGCCCTTGGGTGGAAGCTGATTTGCATTAAACGAAGAGGCTTGAAAGCTTTTTCATTTATAAATACAGATGTAGGGCCCACAGAGCTCACAAGTCACACCCTACTGATCAGAGCAGTCATGCTGAAATGGATGTTGGCATTGACATTCCCCACAAACTCTACCTCTATGGCAAGTTTGAGAGTACCTTTAAACCACAGTGGGAACCTCACCGTCCTGCAGTCTGGCCAGCCCTGGTCTAAATATTGTGTTACACAGGACTTGCATAATGATGCTGCTTTTCCTGAAGTATGTGGCTGTAATAATTTATTTATTTGTTAATAATAATTTCTGTTCATATCAAAAACAGAAGAGGATAAAATTTAATTAACAAGCTAAATGCTTCTAGCTTAATTCACTGATTTCTAAATCTATAGTGCTTCATTAGTATGCAGAAGTAGATGTAACATAAACTACTCAAGTGTTGTTCTTAAGTATGTATATTACCCAATGAATTAAAGATTTTGTCTCCTAAGCTATTATCTCTTTTCTTGAGAAGCTGTACAAGCTGTAACAGTGACAAGGAATAATCTCTTCTCTCTTTCAGTTAGGGAAATAAACCCATGAAATTATATTGGCTTGAAGTCCTGAAAGCTACTTAAGAACTTGACCAAATAAAGGAAAGAAGAAAAAAATCAATTCCCTGAGAATGAAATCTAGTGATATTTTAAATTTTTATATATTGAGCTTACATGACAGAACTGACATATTCCATCTGCACATCAAACCACACAGGTTCACCGCCCAGCTGGAGGATACATAGGAAATTTACCGTAGATGAAGGAACCAAATCTAGGGTTTCTGATCCACCGTCTCGTGCTCTTTCTTATTGAGAGACATCCTTCACATAAGACAATATTTTTCAGTAGATATTAAGAAATAGTGATTTGTAGCTTAGGAACCAATTATTTCCAGCATAGAGAATAAAATCTCTGCTACTGCAAATAAGCATTTTCATCTGAATTAGAAAACAGCAGTAACCCGCAAGGGAAGAAAGCACTCATGACAGAAGACAATTGCTGTCAAGGAACTCTGGAATGCTGACATGCTCTGATTTCACACTAATTCAATTGCAAGTGAATCAAATTTACCTTCTTTATCCTTGAGGGTATTTAAGTAGGAGAGGAGATTTTCATTAGCTTGCACACAGTACGTTTCCCTAGTTTGAATGCCACCTCCGCACAGCGCTGTCTGATTGCCTCGTCTCTTGTCCTGTTGGCTAAGGAGAGGATCCACACGGCATTCTGTCCACTCAGTAGTCCGCCAGCCATACCTGGGTCAAATTTGGTTAATTGGGTCTTTAGAAATCATGACAACATTTTACACAGCATTAAGTTATACAAGCTGAAACACATTAGCAGCTTTATTAATTTTCTAAAAGGCCTGAGCACCACAATTTCTTCCACACAGAGAGGTGTTAAGTCTCATATTTTATGTGGGTGGAAGCTTTTCTTCTACTGTTTAATTTTTTAAATCATTACCCTTTAGTCAGATCTTTTCTGTTCAATTCCTGAAACAGATCACACAGAAATATTTTGAGGGAAGTAAAACTTGATATGCAGATACATGTAATCCATGTTCCAATAAGCTAATTTTTAAGATTGTGACTCTCAACATTTGTTTAGAGCTAGACAATTTATTTGAACTAAAGTCAAAATATCAAAGAAATCTGCATGCTGAGAAACATTAAGAACCAGAAAAAGAGGGAAAACCCCCACAACAAGCCAACCCCCCCAAAATAACCCAAAAGCCTATTGTTCATCTTTGAGAGGAGACACAAAACTCTCTCCTCCATATCAGGGTAAAACTATAATTGCATTTTTTTCTATTATTACTACAGAAAAACCTTTAAGTAAGTTCCTTTTTCACAGTTAAGAGGAAGACTGTTCTGCAGTACTGAAGCATCCCTGCTGGGTACTGATGAATGATGAGAAGCTGTGAGCTTTCTAATCAGTGAATGAACAGCAAAGAAGATCTTTGACTCACAGTTGAAAACCCAGTTGGGATTATGAATTGCAAGAAATGCCACAGAATTCTCTACCCAACAAGTACTTTAAGGCTAAATCAAGCAAAGTGCTTCCTAATGTAGCTGGAGATAGGGAAAGCCTCTTAGATGAAAAATATGTAGCACAGTAAAGGATGCTTAACATCAAATGACATTTCTCCAGACACTCTTTTCAGTTTGATGAAAAAAGCACAGTTGGGACTTTAATAATAATCTTGATTAGTTGATAAGGATTACAGCAATCTCTTGAATTGCAAAGTGCTTGCTGTCATTTTTCCTAAACTTTTACTGTCTCTCCTACTTTCCATTAGTGGCCAAGTGTTGCTTTTGTTGTGCTGAATATGAGTCTCACTAAAAGAGTCTGTTTGCTAACCAGATGTTTATCTCCTTTTTCCTGTGTTCAACATTTTGTCTGCAAACAGACAAATACTTCAGAGAACAATGATTCTGGCAGAAATG